CCCGTGGTCCCTGGCCCCTCACCCGGACCTCCGGACTGCTGTGACCATGTCTGACTTTCCCCTACATCCCACCCGCTTCTCCCTCGGCCCCCCAGTCTCCTCAACGCCTCCCTCTCTGCGCCCCCAGGTCTGGTCTTGGGACGAGGGCGTCCTGGCGGCGGGGTCTCAGGGCCGATTCCTGGTGGAGACATTCCCGGCCCCGGAGGGCCACGGGGGACACGGTCCAGGCCTGATCTCTGTGCTACACATTTCGGGGACCCAGGAGTCCGACTTTAGCAGGGGCTTTAACTGCAGTGCCCGGAACCGGCTGGGCGAGGGGGGCGCCAGAGTCAGCCTGGGCCGCAGAGGTGAGACCCAGCTGGAACACCCCAAATCTGGGGATTCCAAACCCCCCATGTATAGGGATCCCCAAACCCAGTGCTGCCAAACCTCACTCCCGCAAATGCAGAAACCCCGCAAACCTTGGGAGCTTCAAAACTATGGCTTCATTGAACCCCAGGGCCCGGAAACAATATGTTCCCTCAAATACAGAACCCTAAACTGAGAGACCCCTCACAGTTAGGAAGGGAACTGGGGAATTGCAAAGTACAAACTCAAACTCGAAGACTCCCAGCCAGGGAGTTTAAACTCGGTATTCTCAAACCTGTGGGACCCCAAATTCATGGGCCCTTAAACCCTGAACAAGGGGACTGCAAACCTTGGGAATCCTCAAACTTGGCAAACCCAGTGCTCCCCAAAGCCAAGCCCTGAGCCCATCCCCCAATTCCTTCTCAGGGTGCCCCCTCTACCCCCTGCAGACTTGCTGCCCACCGTGAGGATCGTGGCCGGAGTGGCCTCGGCGGCCACAACTCTCCTTATGGTCATCACTGGGGTGACCCTCTGCTGCTGGCGCTATGGCAAGGGTCAGTGCCTGCACCCCGTCCCAGCCCCCCAACTCCCCAACCCCCATCCCCACACACGCCCTCCCCAGTGTCTCGGCCTGGCTCTGGGACCTGGCCCGAGTCCCAGCTCTAGCCCTGCGCAGGGCCTGGCTCACCTTCAGGCTCCGGGTCTCCTGGGGACATATTCCTCACCAGGGTTCCTATTGGCTCCCCGCCGCCCCCACCCAATTTTCCCCTCCGAGTCCTCTCTCCTCCTGCTTACTGCTCTCCACAAGCCAAGACCCCATCACCGACTTCCGCCCCTCTCTGTCCCGGCCTCAGGCTCGTTCTCAGAGCAAAAGAACATGGTGCGAATCCCGGGCAGCAGCGACGGCTCCAGTTCTCGGGCCCCCGAGGAGGAGGATACAGGCAGCCGGGAGGACCAGGTAGGATGCCAGCCCAGATGCGCCTCCGGACCCAGTCCCGCCTCGGACCCAGTCCAGAGCTGGCCGGCAAACTCAAATAGGGCGTTCCCAAATGCCCCCATGACCAAATGTGCCCTTTTTTTTTTTTTTTTTGAGACAGTCTCGTTTTGTTGCTCAGGCTAGAGTGAGTGCCATGGCGTCAGCCTAGCTCACAGCAACCTCAAAGTCCTGGGCTCAAGCGATCCTGCTGCCTCAGCCTCCCGAGTGGCTGGGACTACAGGCATGCGCCACCATGCCGGCTCATTTTTTCTAGTTGGCCAATTAATTTCTTTCTATTTATAGTAGAGACAGGGTATTGCTCTTGCTCAGGCTGGTTTCGAACTCCTGACCCCAAGCGATCCTTCCGCCTCGGCCTCCCAGAGTGCTAGGATTACAGGCGTGAGCCACCGCGCCCGGCCCCAAATGTGCCCTGACCCAGTTATTCCCTAGGCCCACTATGTCTTCAGGGTCCTCTTGTTGTGCTGAGTCCAGTCCCCAGGTCCCAGGTACTCTCAGTCCCTCCCGCCGCCCGTGGTGGGCTGAAGGTCCTTGGGGCCTGGCTCTGGCACAAGAGGCTCCTCTGGCCACTCCATCTCACTGTGTCCCCACCCCAGGGCCCCATTGTGCACGCCGACCACAGTGACCTGGCTCTGGATGAGGAAGGGGCTCTGGAGACCAAGGTGAGTGCTGTGTTCGGAGGGGCGGCGTCCCCTCCACTGTGTCTCCAGCTCTCTCCCACTTCTGTCCCCTCATTTTTCCTTCTCTTACTCCAGAACTGGGACCCAGCCCCCTCCTGCCCCCGCCTCCACTATGCCCGCATGCCTGTCCCAGCCTTAGCTCCTCCACCTTGAGCCCCGGACCGGGGTTCTCTCCACCTGTGCCTTCCCCATCTCGGTCACATGCCAGGCCTTCTGGGTGCTTCTCCCCGATGTCCCCCTTTGTCCCCCCACTCTCAGCTCAGACAGTCCTTGTTCTCAGAAGCGGGTGCTTCTCTCGTCACTGCCTGGTCATTCTGCCTGTGCTTTCCCCAGTCTCGGCCTTGACGCCTCTGGGCTCTGTCTGGCGATTTGTCCTTTTGCCCTTGGCCTGGGATCTCCATGAGGACAAGAGTCCAGGTCTTTCCTGGTGACATGTCTCCAGCAGCGGCACACAGCAGGACACAGGAGCAAAGCCTAGGGGCTGCTGGGCAGATGAAGGACTCTCTCCTGTCTTCTCTGCATCTTCTGCCACACTGCCACCCCTTGGCAGGCCTCTGTCTCTCCATCTCTGTCTCTGCCTATCTCCTTCTGTCCCTTTGTCTCTTGTCACTGTTCTTTGTCTCGCTTTGGCTCTCTGCTGGTCTATGTGTCTGTCTCTTTGTCTCTGTGTCTCCTGCTCCTTTCTTTCTCTTTCAGTCTGGCTCTATCTCCGTGTATCTCTCCATCAGTGGCCCTCACGCCCTTGTACCCCCGTATACCTTACCAAGTCCTATTTGTGCCTGCAGGACCCAACCAATGGCTACTACAAGGTCCGAGGGGTCAGCGTGAGCTTGAGCCTTGGTGAAGCCCCTGGAGGAGGCCTCTTCCTGCCACCCCCATCCCCCCTCGGGCCCCCGGGGACCCCTACCTTCTATGACTTCAACCCGCACCTGGGCATGGTCCCCCCGTGCAGACTGTACCGAGCCCGGGCAGGCTACCTCACCACACCTCACCCTCGAGCTTTCGCCAGCTACATCAAACCCACGTCCTTCGCACCCCCAGATCTCGCCCCCGGGACTCCCCCCTTCCCCTATGCCGCCTTCCCCACACCCAGCCACCAGCGTCTGCAGACTCATGTGTGACATCCCTCCAGTGGAGGAGTCCTGGGATCTTCAACTTGCCTTCGTGGGTTGCCCTGATTTCTGAGGAACCAGAACAAGTGGGAGACCTCATGCCTCCAAAACCGAATACCGCGGGAGGGAAGGACCATTGCGGTTGCCAGGATCATGGATTACAGTCAGCTCAGCCTCAGGGGCTCCCCCCTGTGGGAGGGAGACAGCCACCGTGCCCCTGTGTCAGGGAGATTCAAGATGGCAGACAGGCCCCTTGTAGAGGCATGGAGACGTGGGGGATGGGAGTTAGGGGCAGCGATGGAAGTTGTTTCTAGCCACTGGGAGAAGATATTTCAAGGTAACCACCAGCATTGAGAAGAAACGTAGCACGGGGCAGATGGAGACCGAGGGCAGACCCCACCCTGCCCGGTGCTGCTCCCCAAGGGGCACCTCGCTCCGCCAGTGGAAGTGCAGCCAAAATGGCCATTCGCTCCCTGGGAACCCAAGATGGCCACCATCTTGACCCTTCTGCTTTCCTTAAAGACTCAGAAAGAACTGGACCCAAGGAGTGGGGACAGGGTGAGAACTGTCCCTGTGGAGGTGAAGGGGAACCTGGGGACAAGAATATTTATGTTTAATAAAAAGAAGTCAAAGAGGCAAGTGTGCCTTAGGGATTCTCCTGGCGTTATTACCCTCCATCTAGGAAGGGGTCCGTCGAATGTGTCTCAAGGCCCTTCCTTTACCTTGCTTATGAGGTGGCTCTAGGAGCAGAACCGTGAGCCGCCGCTCAGCCTTTGCTACCTGCTCAGCACTCTAGGCTGCTTTTTTTTTATTGAGACAGAGTCTCACTCTGTTGCCCAGGCTAGAGTGAGTGCCGTGGTGTGGTGTCAGCCTCGCTCACAGCAACCTCAAACTCCTGGGCTCAAGCGATCCTCCTGCCTCAGCCTCCCGAGTAGCTGGGACTACAGGCATGCGCCACCATGTCCGGCTAATTTTTTCTATATATATGTTAGTTGGCCAAGTAATTTCTTTCTATTTATAGTAGAGACGGGGGTCTCACTCTTGCTCAGGCTGGTTTCGAACTCCTGACCTCAAGCGATCCTCACGCCTCAGCCTCCCAGAGTGCTAGGAATACAGGTGTGAGCCGCCGCGCCCGGCCTAGGCTGCTTTAATATACATCTACGTGAACACACACAGATGCATGCACAGGGATGTAAACAGAAGCAGACACACGCATGGGCACGTACACACAGACAGACACATGGACAGACCTCCACACAGATGCACACGCAGGGCAGGGCTGCCCCAGGTGGCCTGGGGAACACAGAATTCTACACTCTCATGTGAGGAGACAAACATCTGAAGGAGAGGTGGTGGGGGGAGACTAGGGGTGAGAAAATAGGAATGGCCTGGTCCTTAGAGCAAGAGTGGGAGGTGTCCAGACGCTTGTCTTGAGGTGCCGGGTCCTTGGTGTGCCCATCAGGATGGGACTCAGGTCGGGACTCCGGTCATCCTTAAGGAAAGGGTCTGGGGGCTTTGGTGTACAGACCCTTGAGCTAGGAGTTACAGGTCCAGACCCCTGGCAGCTTTGGGAGGCAGGGAGACCGACCCCCGGCCCGAGGGGGAGGGGCGCGGGGCCAGACTCCCTGATCTGCAGGAGGAGGGGACCGAGGGCGGGGGAGGCTGGAGCGCTGGAGTCCCCGGCGTAGGACAAAGCGCAAAGCTGACGGTGGGTGTCCGGGTCCGAGGGAGGCGACAGCTGGGGGAGAGTGCAGAGGGGGGACTCCCGGTCCACCGCGGTGCGGGCTCCGCTCCGCCCTGGGGGGGACGCCCGGAATCTCCGGGGGCGGGCGCGGGCGCAGGCTGCCCCCGCTCGCGGGCCGCCCCACTCCGCGCAGAGCGCCGCGCTATTGTCCTGGCCGGGAAGGCGGGGCCGGCGCGGGGCGGGGCTGGCGGCGCCGGCGCAGCCCGGGGGCGGCGGGAGGAGGAGGCGGCGGCGGCGGTGGCGCTGGAAGCTCCTGTCACCGCTGGGGCCGGGCCGGGCGGAAGTGCAGGGGACTTGAGGGCGCGAGGGCCGGGACATGGGGCCGGTCAGCCCAGCCGCGCGCGGTCTGGGTCGCCGCCCGGGCCAGCCGCCGCTGCCGCTGCTGCTGCCGCTGCTGCTGCTGCTCCTGCGCGCGCAGCCCGCCGTCGGGAGCCTGGCGGGCGGGAGCCCCGGCGCCGCCGAGGTGAGGCCCGGCCGGGTCCCGGGGGCTGGGGGAAGGGGCGGGACCGGGCCTCCGGGCCCGACGCGGACTTGTCCAGGGCAGAAAGCTCGATCGCTCCAGCCGGTGGCCAGCCCCCAGGCGCCCCTAACGGCACCAGGCATTCAGGGCCCCGGAATTCCAGGCCCCAGCTCTCCCCACTCTGACGTCCCAGCCCTCTCCCACCCCCAGGACACCAACTGGCTTTTCCAGAAGCCCTGGTCCCAGAAGTCCAGCCCCGCCTCCAGACCCTCTCTCCCTAGGTGACTCGGCCCCAGCCCCTTCCCACCCGAACATTGTACCCGCCAGGCACCAAGGCACTTGGATCTAGGAATCCAGGCCCCTTGCATCCTCTGCACCCGTCTGAAAGCCCTCGCAGGCTCGCAGGACCCAGGAGCCCAGGCCTCCGGACACTACCCACCCCAACCACGATGTAGCCCTCCGGTCCTCAAGGACCTGGTGCCAAGGCCTGCGGGGCCCTGAAGCCAGGCCTCGTGGTCTTAACAGCCTGCAATGGGCGCCGGTGCTGGGGATGGAGGGAGGAGGGGCCAGAACGCCTGGGTTCTGGCCGCCTCCTCCGCGATTCAGTTTAACCCCTTCGGGCTCCAGCACCGCTACGCTGGAGTGTGGGCGGAGCCTGTCTCCGCAGCAACACGGCCGAGAGAATCCCGGGGGGCACCCAGATTGCCATAGCAACAGGAGAGCTGGGGCGCCCCCGCCCTACGGGAGCTGTTTCCCAGGGAACGGAACGGTGCCTCCACGGGGGCGGGGGCGCGGTCCTTGGGGGAGGGGACCGGTGCTGGGGGTCTGAATATCTGGGTGCTAGGGAGCCATAGACCAGAGCACCCTCAAACCGACGTCCCCGGTGCCCTCACTGTCCCCTCCGCCCCCACCTCCAGGCGCCGGGGTCGGCCCAGGTGGCCGGACTATGCGGGCGCGTAGCCCTTCACCGGGACCTGCGCACCGGCCGCTGGGAGCCAGACCCGCAGCGCTCGCGGCGCTGTCTCCGGGACCCGCAGCGCGCGCTGGAGTACTGCAGACAGGTGGGCGGGGCCCAGCGGGAGGGGCGTGGCCAGCGGGTCCAAATGTGGGGCGGGGTCGGCCATTGACAGGGGACTCGAAAGAGGCGTGGTCCAGGGCGAGGAGGGAGCTGAGACGGCGTGGGAGGCTGGGGGGCGTGGCCAACGAAGAGGCGAAGCTAGGCTAGGGCACGACCTCTTTTGAGAAACTGAGTCAAGAAAGGGGAAGAACCGCGCTAAGGAAGATAGCCAGGGAAGAGGCGGGGTTTAGCAATCTGGTGGGCTTTGCAAGGAGTAGAGGCATAGGTGGGAGTGGCCAAATGAGAGGCGGGGCTAACACAAAAAGAGACTTTATGGACCCCCAAGACAGGGAAGGGGGTGGAGCCCAATGAGAGCATGGGTCACTAGGAGGCGTGGCCATGAAACGCGACAGAAGGGACACTCACCGAGAGGCCAAACAGAGAAGGAGGCAGGGCCTAGGGGAAGAGGAACCTGATGGGGGAGGGGGTCGTGACCAGGGAGGTGGGTTTAGAGGGTTGAGTTTATGGGCAGGTGAAGGGACCTTCGTAAGGAGAGTAGACAGGAAGAGAGGGAGGGCAAGGATGCCGGGACTTTTAAGGGAGAGCTACTAGGAGGCGTGGCCAATGGGCACGAGGGCCTTAGATAGCTAAGGCTGGTTCTAGGGAGAAGCAGGGCCTAGGGAGATGTTCTTATGCATACCACAGCCTTGAAAAGAGCCCTGGCCAACGGAGAGGGGTGGGTGGCAGGGGCGGGGCAGTGGGTTGATTGCCCCCACCCGTACCCCCAGATGTATCCGGAGCTGCAGATCGCACGCGTGGAGCAGGCTGCGCAGGCCATCCCCGTGGAGCGCTGGTGTGGGGGTTCCCGGAGCGGCCACTGCGCCCACTCCCACCACCAGGTCGTGCCCTTCCGCTGCCTGCGTGAGTCACAGGCTGGGAGAAGGGACCAGAGGAGGGAATCTCTGGGGGTGGGGGTCCTGCCTCAGGCCCACATTAGGGGGCTGGGTACCTGGATCCCAAGCGGGGCAGAGGAGCTTCTGAGGATAAAACATCTGGATGCTGAGGAGGGTGGGCTTGGGGGCTGTGGGAGGGTCTCACCCCGGTCTCCCCCATCCCCTAGCCGGTGAGTTCGTGAGCGAGGCCCTGCTGGTGCCTGAAGGCTGCCGGTTCTTGCACCAGGAACGCATGGACCAGTGTGAGAGTTCAACCCGGAGGCATCAGGAGGCACAGGAGGTCAGAGCCTCTGCCCACCCGTCCCCACTCGCTCCCAAACCCGGGAGTCCAGGCCCTTAACACGCTCCTCCACCGGAACTGAGGAGTCTGGGCCTCCAGCCCCCTCTTCCCACTGGGATCTAGGGATTCCATGTCCTAACCTCTTCTTCCAGAAGCAGGAATCCAGGCTCCCAGCCTCATCCTCCCCCAAGACCCAGGTTTCCAGACGCCCCATCTCCCCCTTCCTGCCCCACAACCCTGGCATCTGGGTCCACTCTTCCCACAGGCCTGCAGCTCCCAGGGCCTCATCCTGCATGGCTCGGGGATGCTTTTGCCCTGTGGCTCCGATCGGTTCCGAGGTGTGGAGTATGTGTGCTGTCCCCCTCCAGTGACCTCCGACCCGTCTGGGACAGCAGATGGGTGAGTGGAAGGGAACCCTCTGTGCCCGCCCCAAGGCTCCTGAGGCAGGGGATGGAAACCTGGGGGCTGGGCCTGGGTTCTTACTGCCTGGGTCTTCTCCTGCTCCCTCAGTGACCCCTCCACCCGGTCATGGCCCCTGGGGGGAAGAGTAGAGGGGGGTGAGGACGAGGAAGAGGAGGAATCCTTCCTACAGCCAGTGGACGATTACTTCGTGGAGCCTCCACAGGCTGAAGAGGAAGAGGAGGAGGAAAGAGTCCCACCCCCGAGCTCCCAGGCCCCAGCAGTGGTCAGCAAAGGTGAGGCAGTCTCTGAACCCTCAGGCCCCTCCACCATGGGGGGAGAATGATTTGGGGGAGCCTTGGTATGGGGCAACTTTGGGAGGGACCTATGGGAAAGAAGCCCAACGGGAGGGAATAGAAGAAATGGGAGTGGCTTTGGGTACAGCAGAGGTGGCAGGACTGGCCTGTGAAGAATGCAAAGGGACAGGGTGGTTTGGGGGTGCTTGTGAGTGGAGGGGCCACTTAGTAGGTCCTCAGGGTCATTTGGGGAAAGCTGAGCAGGTGATATAATGGGTTCCTAAGCTTTTCAAGAACAGTCTGGTGCAGAATCACATCTCCCATGATGCCAGGCGGCAGCTATGGTTAAACTGGATCCGCGATGGTCTCCTGCACGCTCCAGGAAATATAGCTGTCCCCGTAGAAAAGGTGACCTGGGGGTGGGCTGCAGGCTGACCTCCTGATCCGTGGTTTTGCAGTCACTCCCACCCCGAGGCCCACAGACGGTGTGGACGTCTACTTCGGCATGCCTGGGGAGATCAGCGAGCATGAGGGGTTCCTGAGGGCCAAGATGGACCTGGAGGAGCGTAGGATGCGCCAGATTAATGAGGTGATGGTACTGGGGACCCTAGCAGCCCCCCATACCATGGAGCTCCCCAAATGAATGCCAGGAGATTCCTTAGAGACGCTTTAAAACTACCTCCAAAGGTTCCCCAAGCCTCCTTCGACCCTGAGCCCTCAACACCACCCACTAAGATGACCAGGATCCCTGACCCACCTAGAATCCCACTGAGATGCCACCAGACTCTTCCTCTTTAAACTCCTTCTGGGTCTTCCCTCTCGGGAACCCAAGAGCCAATGGGACTTAAGGAATCTGGGGCCTCCAAAGTCTTAAAGAGGGACTAGGGCACTCGCCAAGCAGATCGGGGTGGATTCTGGGATCCTGAAGTTCCCCTCCCTGCCAGGTGATGCGTGAATGGGCCATGGCGGACAACCAGTCCAAGAACCTGCCCAAAGCTGACAGACAGGCCCTGAACGAGGTAGGACAATCACCAGCAGGTCCTACTCGTGCCTTTCTGTCACCCAGGGCACTCACGGCTGCAGCCTGGCTCTGGACACATGCCACCCCACCCAGTTCCACCCCTTCCTACTTATCTCTGCCTCTTTTGGCCTCACCCCTACATTGGCTCTGCCCCTCTTGGCTGTGTCTGACCTGACAGTGCTCTCTGGTCACGTGGGCCAGGTGTAGCCCTGTCTTCACCTGGCCACCTCGAGGGCTGGCTCTGGAGTCCCCTCCCACGCTGGGCCCTCTGCAGGTGTAGCCGGGTCCCTCTCGGTCTCTCTTTGGTGCATTCATGTCCCTGTTGGCCCTGCCCTCTGTCTGGTCCTCCCCTCAAATCTCACCTCTCTCAGCCTCACTTTGGTCCAGCCCTACCCCATGGAGATCCTGCTCGGGTTGGCCCCTGTTCCAGTTCTTTGGTCCCACCCCTGCTGGTCCCACTTAGGTGCAGGTTGACCCTGCCCAGGCCTGGGCGCATTGGACCGCACCCCGAGAGGCCCTGTAGCCCTGCCTCCCCAGCCCGCCCCTGCCCCAGGCTCTGCCCCATCTTCCCCTCTCCTGATCCTGTGCCCACCCGCCTGCCAGCACTTCCAGTCCATTCTGCAGACCCTGGAGGAGCAGGTGTCCGGGGAGCGGCAGCGCCTGGTGGAGACCCATGCCACCCGCGTCATCGCCCTTATCAACGACCAGCGCCGGGCCGCCCTGGAGGGCTTCCTGGCGGCGCTGCAGGGGGACCCGCCTCAGGTGTGCAGGCTGTGGAGGTGGAGAACAGGTGGGCGAGAGGGCTGGGCGGGCCTGGGCAGCCTTTGTCCCTTCCACAGGCAGAGCGTGTCCTGCTGGCCCTGCGGCGCTACCTGCGGGCGGAGCAGAAGGAGCAGAGGCACACGCTGCGGCACTACCAGCATGTGGCCGCGGTGGATCCTGAGAAGGCCCAGCAGATGCGCTTCCAGGTGCCCCATGCCCGGCTGCTCCTCACGCCCAGGCCCCTCGGGCTCTTGTCTTGTCCCCTGGAGCCTCTGTCTATCCCGGGAACACCCCTTCTCTGCCGCCAGACCCTTTCCAGTCCCTCAACTCTGCTCCTTCCCCTCGGATCCTTGTTTCCTGACCCTGGAACATCCCGCCACACTGGGCCTGTGACCCCCTTTCTTGCTCCTTGAATTCCTACTGCCTGTCCCTTGATCCCGCCTTCTGTCCGTCGGAGTTCTTCCTCCTTTCCCAGAATCCCCTTGCTGTGCCTTGAACCCTGTTCTTGTCCCTCAGTCCCCCTTCCTCCCAAACCCCACGTGTTCTCCCTGGAACCTCTGTTCTGTGCCCTCAGATTCTAATTCCCGCTTCTTGGATGTTTTCTTCCTGTCCACGAATACTCCGTTCTGTGTTCTTGAACTCCAAATCTTGTCCTGGAACCTCCTCATTTCTATATGACCCTCCAATCCCACTCCCTGTCTTGGGAACCCCCTCTATCCTTTCTGCTCCTCAGACCCTACTTCCTGCCACTGCTGCCCCCCTCGTCTCTCGACTTCCTATTGTCTGTCCCATGTTCCTGTGTCCCGTACTTACCTTGTCCCCCGAGCCCCACTTTTCCCAGTGCCCATACCTTTTCCTCAGACCCTATTGAAGTCTTCCTACATCCCGCCTCAGTTTCCCCATCTCCAGCCCGCACTGCCCAGTTCATCCCTCATCCCTGCTCCCTGCCAGGTGCAGACCCACCTGCGTGTGATCGAGGAGAGGATGAACCAGAGCCTGGGCCTCCTGGACCAGAACCCCCACCTGGCGCAGGAGCTGCGGCCCCAGATTCGTGAGTGCCCATCTCCCTGGGCCCAGTTCCAGACCTCTGAGGAAAGACCTTGACTCCCCAACTTCAATCCTCCCCAATTTCAGTTAGCCATCCCTGTATAACAAACCACCCCAAAACTTGGTGGTTTAAATGAACAGCCATTTTTCTTTGTTCATAATTCTGCCATCTGGTCTGGCTGGGTTCAGCTGAGCGGTTCTTCTGGTGGTCTTGGCAGAAGTCAGGTATGCAGGTGTGTTTAGCCAGAAGGTCATCTGAGGGCTGGGGCTCCAGCACACGTGGGTCTCTCTCCACGTGTGGAGAGCACACATGGGTCTCCCTGTCCAAATAGGCTCGAGACCCCACTTCTCCATGGAGCCTCTCCACGTGGTCTTGCCAGCCGGCTAGCTGGACTTCCTACATGTGGGGGTTCATACTCCCCAAAATGCCGAGTCTTCTTAAGGCTTGGGCTCACATTTTATTGGTTAAAGCAAGATATAAACCCAGTCCAGATTCAAGCACAGGCGCCTAACATGGATGAAAACCAGAAAGTGTGACCTACCACAGCCTAGAACTATGGTCACTTCCTCCCAGCTGTCCCACACCTAACCTGAATTCTCCTGATACTCAAGGATGCCATAGTCTTGAAACACCAAACTCCATCCAGCTCCCCACTTTGCCAGGTCACACTCACGGCTGCCCCGCACTTGGGGTGACTCTGCCGTCTGCATGGTCTCCCAATAACTCCACTGTTAGGATGCCCCTCATTCCCCCCGCTGTGTTTTGTGGCGTCCCTGCACTCACCCCCTCAGCCACCTCTCTGTGTGTGCCCCTCAGAGGAGCTCCTCCGCTCCGAGCACCTGGGGCCCAGCGACTTGGAAGCCCCCGCCCCCGCGGGCAGCAGTGAGGACAAGGCCAGGCCACAGCCTCCAGATTCCAAGGACGGTGAGTGAGCTGGACTTGGGGAAGAAGGCCCGAACCTCATTTCTAATCCCCTACAGTGCGAGGCTGTCTTAGCCACCACGGTGACAGTGAGTGGCAGGACGGGGAGGAACGTCTAAGGTTGGGGGAGGGTCCGTAGGATCTTTGGTCCTTCTTGGTCCCTGGGAGGGGGTTTCTCCACCTTTCCGTTGATGACACCCTCCTCTCTTCACTGCTCCACCCGCCCTGCCACCCTGGCTGCCAGCAGACACCCCTGGGACCCTTCCGAAAGGTGAGTGTCTCACACAGTAGACCCCAGCCACTAAATCCCATGGTGTCCGTGAACCCAGAATGGAAAAGGGTCCAAACACTGGGAACCCCCGACCTCCCGGGGCGGGGGAAGTCCAGTGTGCTTTCTGGCCCGCTCCCTGGGGGCATAGCACCCCTCTGGACCCTCAAGAATGAGATAGGACTTGGGGGGCGGGGTCCACAGAGCAAGATGCTGCACCCCCTGAGAAGGAGAAGACGTCCCCCCTGGAGCAGTACGAGCGAAAGGTAAGTCGGTCAGACCTGTGGGCTCCTGCGGGCGGAGGAGAGCAGCGCCCGGACTGCCGAGGCTGGGGGAGAGGGCGCTGCGGGTTTGGATTCCTTGGCCTGAGGGAAGAGGGGGACGAGGACGGGGACTCTGGGGTTCTAGGAGAGAAGAAGGCTGGGGTACCCCTGGGTGGCTGACACCTCCTGCTCCCCCAGGTGAATGCGTCCGTTCCAAGGGGTTTTCCTTTCCACTCATCAGAGATTCAGAGAGACGAGCTGGTAAGAGGGTGGAATCCCCAGGTACCAGGGGGCAAAGGTCAGAGGTCAGCAGCTAGGCTGTGACTCTCAGGATGCCCTCTGTCCCCATCTCCTTTCCCCGCAGGCACCAGCAGGGACAGGCGTGTCCCGAGAGGCCGTGTCCGGTCTGCTGATCATGGGAGCAGGTGGGGGCTCCCTGATCGTCCTCTCCATGCTGCTCCTGCGCAGGAAGAAGCCCTACGGGGCCATCAGCCACGGGGTGGTGGAGGTGAGAGACTCCAGGACAGGGTTGCAGAGCCTGGACCTGGGGATTGGGGGCTGTGAAATCCGAGGGAGGTCCCGGCGCCCCACTGTCCTCCCCCTGCCCCGGCTGTAGGTGGACCCCATGCTGAGCCTGGAGGAGCAGCAGCTTCGGGAGCTGCAGCGGCATGGCTATGAGAACCCCACCTACCGCTTCCTGGAGGAACGACCCTGAACCGCCCCGTCACGCCTCCAGCCGAGCCCAGACCTTCCCTCTTCCGGGAGCCCCAGAACCCCAACTCCCAGCCTAGGGTGGGGGAGGGACTCTCGAAAACTTCATTTCACACCCGTTGTCAGGGGGCTGGAAATTCTCATTTCCCCTTTCCATTTCCAAATTCCATCCCCACGAAGCCCCCAGCGATTCCCAGCTGCCTCCCTACATGGGACCTCCTCACCTTAATTTATTTTGCAAGTTAATTTATTGCTCCTTAAGGTGACCGTCACCTTGGTCCCAGTGTCTGTTGTTCCCTAGAATTCACCCTCCCACATTTTCGCCACTAACATCCCAATAAAGTCCTTTTCCCCACCAGGCCATGCCGCGTTCTATGGGAGGATGGGGGAATTAGTGCGTAATCACAGCTGGACGGGGGTGTCCAGCCTGCCCAGACCTCCTTCGCCTCTTTAAGCTGGATGAGGGGAGCTTTGGATCTGGGCGGGGCCTGCAGGACCAGCTGGCGCAGGAGCGAGGCCCAGGGACCCTGGGGTAGGCTCTCGGCGCCTACGCAGGAGCTTTCCATGGTGCTGAAGGGCCGCCACTTCTCGCCCTCCATCTGCTGGCCACCGGCGTGGACCCCAAGGAGGCTGGGCTCTGGCAAGTTTCCGCTGCCCTCACTCACAACCACACACAGTGTCCACCCCAACCCTCGAGCCCTACAAGGGACTGGGAATCTTGAGCAACCCTTCCCATTCCCAGAAGTCCCTATCCCTTCTTAGGGAGTCTGTAGGCATCCCCCAGGGCATGGACATTTCAGTTCTGCGTCCCATAGAGGGATAGATGATGTCTGCACGTGCCTGTTGGAATTTATACCCTCACGTGTCCCATTTTGTGACATGCTGGAGTCAGCCCTCTACCTGTGCTGTTACCTGTCCCAAGAGCGTAGTCGTAAGGATGAAAAGGGCCGATGTTTGTGGAGATGTGAGAATTGTGCCTGCCACCCAGCGAGTGTTGGTTAAATACATTTTGAAACATTGTAGCAGCAAAAACCCATGTAGTGTTCACCCTGGGCCAGGCACATACTCAAGGGCTTTCCATGAATTGGTGCCCTTAATCTTCACTTCCATCCCACGGAGCAGACACTACGACCATCCCGATTTATAGATTAGGAAACGGAGAGAGAGAGAGAAGTTACATCACGTGCCCAAGGTCACCATCTAGGAAGGGTCAGAGCTAGGAATTCAACTCAGGAAGCCTGGCTCCCACACTCACACCCGTGGCTACTTTGCTAACCTGCTGTCTTTTATTTGAGACAGAGTCTTGCTTTTTTGCCCAGGCTAGAGTGCCGTGGCGTCAGCCTAGCTCACAGCAACCTCCAACTCCTGCGGTCAAGCAATCCTCCTGCCTCAGCCTCCCGAGTAGCTGGGACTACAGGCATGCGCCACCATGCCCGCCTAATTTTTTTTTCTATATATTAGTTGGCCAATTAATTTCTTTCTATTTATAGTAGAGACGGGGGTCTCGATCTTACTCAGGCTGGTTTCGAACTCCTGACCTCGAGCAATCTGCCTGCCTTGGACTCCCAGAGTGCTAGGATTACAGGTGTGAGCCACCGTGCCCAGCCTTAACCTGCTGTCTTTAGTAATTCAAGGCTGTCCCATATGGTGTTCAGATTATGGACTGCAAATTCCAGGTGATACCATTCCTAGACATTGCAGATTTGCTTTTTTACCACAACTTCCCAGCAGATGGCAGTAATGTGTGTGGGGGGTGTGGGGTGTGTGTGTGTGTGTGTGTGTGTGTGTGTGTTATGTCAGTATACCACACAATTTTTCTGACATGACTTGGGGAAGGGAGCACTTATTTCTAATTCTCCCAAAGGGCCTATGAGATATCAGTGTCTCTTCCTAATATATACATGCAAATACAGGTCATGTATATTAAATATACACCTGGTAGGTGTTTGGAGGAAGATGCTTTCATGATGCAGGTTGGATACAATGCCACAGCTTCCTTGGAGAACTCAGTTTGCACCACCATTCTGATACCAGTTATACCTTCAGTTATACTCAGAGGAGCCCGGCAGAAATCTGTCGCTAACACCACAAGCAGCGAAAAAGCTGCTTTTGTGTTTTCACAACCAAGAGTGATCCACAGGCTAACAACAGGTAATTTGCACCCAGCCAGAGGGGGGCTGCTTTAAGCCTCAAGTTTTGGGGCGGAGACACTGGCACGTGCCCTGAAGTGGGCTAAAATACACTTAGCTTGTTGTCCATGAGATGCTCCAAGTAGGGGAGCCAGGATGGGTCAGGGGGCTTTCTGGGGTGGGGGCTCTTTGGGTGATAAGATCTGGATGGAGGCCAGAGCAGAGGCTGCGGTGCGAGTGTGGGAAGAGGAGCGTCGTGCAGGCCCTCTGTCTCAGTGTGGTTTTGTGCAGAAGCAGATGCCAAGGCAGGGGATTAAGAGCCAGTTTATGGGGATTAAGAGCCAGTTTATGGGGAAGGAACGGGGAACACCTGCAGAGGAGGTGGGACAAGACGCCAGGCAGGGAAAGCAGCCAGGAAAGGATATCTCATCACGCCCACAGCACGTGGGGAGCTCCGCTCTGCTGGGGAACGTGCACTTGTGAGTTATCCCAACAGGGAGGGGAGGGGCCTGGCATATTTATGCGCCACCAGTCCCCTGGAGCAGGGAGTGGGCACCAACTCCTGGCTTTCAAGGCTTGCCTGGCTCTTGCACAGAGCAGAGTGGCACCGAGGTCCGAGAATGCCCCAAGGCAGCTTCTGTGTGTCCCCGGGACGAGGGTGAGGGGGTGTGGACTCCCACCCATCCTGGCTGCTGCACGCCCCACCCTGGCGCGTGCGCCAAACGCCAGTCCTCTGTGGGGCACCCCAGCCACTGCCCCGCACTAAGGCCCCCAGAGATCAGACGACAGCAGTTCTAGTCCAAGTCGCGTTTAATAGGCGTCTCAGGGATGCTCGTTCAGACTAGGGGAGGGACTCACTGCGGACGTGGGGGACCGGGCCAGGGCCCGGCTGAGTTCTGAGCTAGAAAGCGGCAGGACCCGATGAGCTCTAATGCTCTAATCTGAGCAGGTCCTTCCTGTGTCTCCGGCTTAGGACCCCGGGGCTGTGGGAGCTGGGCAGGGCCGGGGGCTATCTCAGGAGCCCCACGGACCTCATTCAGGCATTACGCCTGGGTTTTGGGGCATGAAGAGCTGAGTCAGGGGAGAGAACCCTAAAAGGTCTCAGCGAGGACAGGGTTAGGGGCCCGGGGTGTTTCACAGAAACAATCAAGGGGCCTCGATTTCACAGAAATCATCAAGAGGGCTCCTCGTGGGTGGGGGCGGGGTGTCACAGCATCCCAAATATTGGGGACTGCTCACCCCCCTGGCAGCCATTTTGGGGTTTTAATGTAAGACCCCAATGGCAGGGTATTCCACATACATTATCATGGATTTGCACATTAGCATACGCTGGCTGTCCCACAGGACGGTGGGGACTGGAAAATCAGTCCAGGTTCTGGGTTTGAGTCCTAAGAGGACAGGCCTGGGGGTGCCACTCGGCTCCTCTTCAACAGCTGCCGGAGCTGCGGACAAGGCAAGGCAGAGTGAGCGGCCGGGGAGGGGGAAGGCGCCGGGCAGGGCGGGCAGGGCAGCAGGAGCTGAGTGGGGCCAGTTCTGGGCTGCAGGTGAAGGTCTGGGTCACGCGGAATCAGAACTGTGGGTGCAGGGAGAGGTGCTCCTGCTGGGGCTTCCCACCCTGGGGTTAGCACCAAGGGGAGTCGAAGGGAAGGAGCGAGGGGTCAGAAGTCACATTTTAGGTCAGGACCCAGGCTTAGGGGCAGGGGACCAGGGGTCATACTTGGGGATCAAAGATCACACCTTGAGGTCAAGACTCAGGGTTGGGCGTGCGGGTCATACACTGAGGTTGGGGTTGGCGTAGAGGTCAGGGGGAGTCACCACACTGGGGTGACGGATCACATTTTGAAGTCAGGGTTGGAGAAGGGTGGAGGTCACCTTCCGAGATCAGAAGTCACCCTCTAAAGTCGGGGAGGGTTGGGTGGAGTGGGGGTCACCCCCCAGTGAGGCCAAGTGCTTACCCCCTCGGGGCCCGGCCCGGGCCGCAGCAGGTGCACGGGCTGCTCGTTCTCCAGGTTGCGCAGCGTGGGGTCCGCCCCCGCGGCCAACAGGCGCCGCACGATGGCCTCCTGGGCTGGCCCCGGGGGCAGGGCGGCCGCCATGTGGAGGGCTGTGTTCCCGTGGGCCTGGGACAGTGACCGGATCGTGGCTCGTCTCTCCACGGCCACGCTCCACGCGTCCCTCCTCGCCCGTGCCCACCTCCCGCACATTCCCCTTCAGATCCCACACGCGTTCCCGGCCCACGGGACCCCCGCGCCTCGCTGCCCACCCTCCGCGCCTCCCAGCCCCGGCCCCCACCTTCATGTTGACGAAGGCCCGCAGGTCTCCCCGCGGCAGCTCCAGCAGCAGCCGCACCAGCGTGGGGTTGGCAGCCTGCACAGCCAAGTGCAGCACCGTCTTGTTGCTCTTGATCTCCTGTGGGGAGAGGAAAGCAGCGGTCGCGCCAGTCCTCACACCCGGCCCGCTCCCCCACCCAGGAGCCTTTAGAGCAGGCGTCCTCAAACTACGGCCCCCGGGCCACGGGCGGGTGTCTTTGCCCGTTTGTTTTTTTTTACTTCAAAATAAGCTATGTGCAGTGTGCATAGGAATTTGTTCATAGTTTTTTTTTAAAAAACTATAGTCCGGCCCTCCAATGGTCTGAGGACAGTGAACTGGCCCCCTGTTGAAAAAGTTTGAGGACCCCTGCTTTAGATACCCTGGCCCTCCATGGCCAAGCCCCACCAGGAGTGCCTTAGTCAGTTGTACGTGCTGTGCACTGTACGATACTATGTCTAAGGGCGTGTCATCCACACCAAATGGCTCACAGAATTACACATTTATCCCCCTCGCCCCAGCCACAGGCCAACTGTGAGCAAAGAACTATACATTTATTACGACGATTTTCCTACCCAGGTGTCTTTGAGAAAGGGGCTCTCTTTCCCATCCCCCAGAGGAGCTCTCTGGGCTGGCCCTGGCCACGCCACATTCTATGTAATGCATTAAAATGCATCCTGTCCCCAGAGGACTGTACTTTATCTAGAAGGACACGAGTTAGGCGGCATTAATCAGTAGACTAGCTCATATCGTAATATCGCACTGCAATATTCAGCTGTTCCCTTCCTATTTGGGGAAAAATAAAAGACATTTCCTAAAATGAAACTTACATTATGTGCGTTTCAGGAGTCTGTAATGATAACGAACGTCACAGACTTCATGTGTTTATGTGGGGTAAAGCAAACGAGTTTGCTCACCAAATAAACCATGGAGAGAAAACAAAGCTCTAGAGATTAAGAGTGGCTTTAAAAGAGGTTATCATCGTAATATACAGGCTTTATTTAGATCTTAACTTTTTTTCAATAAAAAAAAAAAAGTGTCACTTTCGAGCCCAAAGGAAATTTGAACACAGCTGAGATATTTGATATTATGAGATTATCGTTCATTTTTTGGGGGAAGGATGATGGCATTGAGGTTAAAAGACATGCAAATATTTGGGGAGAGGAACAGCATCGGTCAGACCAGTGCTCACACCCAGGCCCCGTCCCACGTATCGGTATTTCTACATAAATATTTATAGAAAAAAGCATATGCTTGAATTTGCTTAAAAATAACCCAGGAAAGTGGGGGAGTGGATGGGCGGTCCGGGCTGTGAGTTGCTGGTGAGAGACGTGGGCCCCGTGGGATTCACTTTCTGTACTTTTCTATATTCGAAATTCTTTCACTAAAGACAACATGTGCATGTGGCTGATTCATTCTCTAGCCAGCCTGCGAAGTAGCCAGGAAAGGGGTAGAACACCATTAAGAGCTGAGTTCTAAGGTCAGACTAGCTGGGTTCTAATCCCTTCTCTGACGCGTACAAACGATAAGCTTTTTGCTGTTGTTTTGGCTTTCGTGTTTTGTTTGTTTTGAGACAAGAGTCTTGCTCTGTCGCCCCCGGCTAGAGTGCAGTGGCGTCATTGTAGCTCACAGCAACCTCCAACTCCTGGGCTCAAGCGATCCTCCTGCCTCGGCCTCCCAGAGTGCTAGGATTAGAGGCGTGAGCCACCGCGCCCGGTCACTAGCTATTAAGATTCTTGACCCTCTGTGCCTCTCAGTTTCCTTATCGGTAAAATAGGGAAAATAAGAACAGTACATGTGTCAAAGGGTGTTTGTGAGGCTTCAACAAGCTACTTCATGAAACCCAGTGCTTGATGACTAGTGAGTGCTTGATGAATACGTGCCAAGATCAGTAATGTTATTCCCAGTTGACAACTAGGGCACAGGGATGCCAAGTCACGTGCCCACGGTCACACAGCTAGCAAGAGGCAAAGTCGGCATTTGTCTGTGGAGTCCCCCTATACATCCAGGTGGCCCCTTCCCACACACCCTCCCAGGGGCCGGCCACCCCCAGCCCAGCTCACCTGGCTGGTGTGATCGGCACCCATGTACAGCAACATCTGGACACAAGCCAGCCTCTCTTGGGCTTGGGCACTCAGCATCCGGGGACAGAGGTCGGGTGGGCGCATAGCGACATTGAGAGCCAGGGTGGCTGTGTGGAGCGGGGTGAGGCCTGTAGAATAGACGGTGAGGAGCCTGCATCTGGATCACCTGCCCTGCCCAGTGTCACCCACCCCAACAGCCCTACCCGCACCCAACTTACCCTCAAAGTCTCTGGCTTCCAGGTCAACTTGAACCCTTGAGTTAAACACAGCCTGGGAGGAAGAGAAGTGCTGGGTAAGGGTCTCCCCAGCCCTCCTAAGCCTGTCAATCAGCCCACCCCAAATACCCCACCTGCCCGCTGGCCATACCGAGAGGACGCCTGGAAGCCCATAGGTGGCGGCCACATGCAAGACAGAACGTCCCTGATGGTCGGTGGCGTTGGGCTCTGCTCCCAGGCTCAGCAGATCCTCCACAATCAGGGGCTGATTGGCAGCAGCGGCCACCAGGAGAGGGGTCTGCAGGTCACAGGAAAGGTCAGCCTGGGCCCCCAGCCCCCTCCCCTCTGAAAACTGGGAATGCAGGCTCCCAGCCCCCTCTACCCCCAGACCCGGGAGTTTAGGTCCCCAGCGCCCTCTTCTCTAGGATCCCGGAGTCTACGCCCCCAGCTCTCTCATCTCCGAGCCCAGAGTCCAGGCCCAGGCCTCACCTTGCCCTTGTGCTCACGGATGTCCAGATGCTGGTACACCTGGAGCACCTCAGCCGCAGCATACGCCGCCCAGCGCAGCCCCCGAGCCGCAAACAGGTGCAGGAGCCTGAGGACAGGCGGGGGACAGCAGTGAGAACAGACCCCAGCAGCCGCGTCAGGGGTCTGAGGGTGACCCTACTCCCCTCTACTCACGTGTCCCCCTCCTCATCCTGGGCCAGCAGCTGTTGTGGCCCCAAAGCCAGCATGTGAGCTCGGGCTGCATCCAGGGATGGCCCGGTGACCACAGCGGGCAACTGTGGGGGTCCCAGGGGGAGCCCAGGAACTCTCCAGGACCCTGCCTGTGACAGGGAAGATTCTGCATAGAGCCGAGTGTCCGGGGGTTCCTGAAGAGTGAGGGGGTGAGGGGGGAGCCAGTCAGCTGAAAACTGCCCCTCTCCGACCCACCACACAACACACACAGTACAGAGCCCCTCAAGTGCAGCCCCCGAGTGGCTGGGTACCCATCTGTGCCAAGTGACCTTGCACCTTGAGGCCTCAGTTTTGCCCATTGGAGAAATGGGATCTTAACCCAGCCCTAGTCGTCTCAGCATACTGCATGAGGACAACTGGGGATTTCTAGGGGCCCTTCGGCACCCTGTCCCCACTCTGTAGCTCACCTCCATCCCCAGGGGCAACGGGCACTGCTGCCCTGGGTCCGAGGGTGGGTAGAAGTCAGGAATCAGGAAACTTTCGGCAGCGGAAGCGGGGTAGGAGCAGAGACCGTCTGTGCAGGCGGCATGCGTGTTGGGGTCCCAGTCCGCAAAGCCCATAGAGGGGGCCAAGCTGCCAAGTCCAGAGCCCACGGTCTCCTGCTGTGCCGGGAAGTGAGGGTGGCCTGCGTGTGACAGGAGGGGCAGGGGCAGGTCTGGGTACCCGAGTTGGGGAAGTCACAGCAGGGCTGGAGGGCCCCGGGTCTCCCGGGGTGCTAAGAGCTAGTATTTATACTTCTGGAGCACCACAGGGCTGGGAGCCTGGGCTCTGAAGGACAATATGAGCACAGACCACCGGGCTGCAGAGAATCTGGGAGATCAAACAGCTACTGAGCCCCAGCAGGAATGAGGGCCTGACTCCCACTGTCCTGAGCTCTGAGAGTCTGAGTCCCCAGGGGAAACTGAGGCAGGGAGCTGACAGAAGCAGGTGAGGTTCCAGACTTACCAGCCTCAGCCTCACTCACAGATGGGGCCAGGGGCTGCGACAGCGGGGACGGGAACTGTCCCTGTAGAGGCAGAAGCAAGAAGGAGGGAAGGTGAAGGTACCTGGCAGATTCCTCCGCACCTGTTCCTGACCCCCGGCGCATCTGAGCCGGGGCCGCCTCTCTCGCCCGCGCTGAGAGCGCGGCAGGCCCGCAAGTCCCCAAGTCCCCGCGGGGCAGCACGCGGCCTCACCTGCACCCCACGCGCGTCCGGCTGCTGCTGGCGGCGCCTCTGTTCTTCCAGGAGCTTCTTCACTGTCTGCGTCGGGCAGTGGCCGCGCTCATGCCGACTCACTGTGGGCGGAGGGGGGGGGGAAGTCGTCAGGGGTCCTCCAGCCACCTAAACGCACGGGGGCGGGGGGATTCGGGCGCCGCCCCGTCCTCCCGCGCGGAAACGCTGGCACGTCGCCGCCGCCTGACTCCTCCGGGGTGGGGCGTCCGCCTCCGCTTCTGCCGTTTCCTTCCCCTCGCTCCGCGCTTCCCCTCTGACCCAACTTTCCACCCGCGTGGTGGAAACTGAGGAAGGCGGAGGAGAGCGCCCCTCGGCAGCGCCCCGCGACTTCCGTAAAAAAAGTCCCGCCCCCAGGTCGCCCAGTCCAGAAGCCGCGGGGGTCGCAGGGCGTCACCCTCCGCCCCGGAAGCGGTCCTGCCGCCCTGGCCCCGAGAGACCCCTGGCGGAGGAGCCGCGAGCCCGCAGCGCCCCGCCCGCCCGGGTCCTCCGGCCCCAGGCCCGCCCCGCCCCTTCCGGCTCGGCCGTCCCGGGACAGCTCGCTCCTCCGCAGGGCCCGGGGACCCAGGCCGCAGCCCGCTCCTCTCTGGGGCCGGGGTCCCCGACCCCGCAGTCCTCCTCGTGACCCCGCGACGCAGGGCCCTCGACCCTCACCCTCCGAGCGCGGGCTCCGAGGCGGAAGGGTTAAACGAGGGCGGCCGGGCTCGGAAACGGCCCGGAGGCGACGCGCTGACGTCACGGCGCACGCAAGGGAATCTTCCACCCTCCCCCGCGCCCCCGCGCCGCAGGTGTCCGGCTGCGCGGCCCGGCGCGCGGCGGAGCGTGGCGCTGGCGGAATCCCCGCGCTGGGGGAATTCCTGCCGGCCCCGCGCGGCGGCGATCTGGGGAATCCCGGGCGGGCCGGGGCCGGCCGGTGTGGACCCCGCGGCCGGGCGCCGGACCTTCCTCCCCGCGGCCCGCGGCCGACGTTAAGCGACCACGCTCCAGGACACCCGGTGCAGCCCCTCCTTTAGGGGAAGGGGTCTCGGCCGCCGGCCCCATCCCCCACACGACCAGCCTCCCAGCCGTTCACCCCGGGACCCCGGACTCGCATCCCCAGTTCACCCCGGGACCCCGGACTCGCATCCCCAGTTCACCCCCCGGGACCCCGGACTCGCATCCCCAGTTCACCCCCCGGGACCCCGGACTCGCATCCCCAGTTCACCCCCGGGACCCCGGACTCGCATCCCCAGGTCACCCCCCGGGACCCCGGACTCGCATCCCCAGTTCACCACCGGGACCCCGGACTCGCATCCCCAGTTCACCCCCGGGACCCCGGACTCGCATCCCCAGTTCACCCTCGGGACCCTGGACTCGCATCCCCAGTTCACCCCCCGGGACCCCGGACTCGCATCCCCAGGTCACCCCGGGACCCCAGACTCGCATCCCCAGGTCACCCCGGGACCCCGGACTCGCATTCCCCGTTCACCCCGGGACCCCGGACTCGCATCCCCAGTTCACCCCGGGACCCCGGACTCGCATCCCCAGTTCACCCCCGGGACCCCGGACTCGCATCCCCAGGTCACCCCGGGACCCCAGACTCGCATCCCCAGGTCACCCCGGGACCCCGGACTCGCATCCCCAGTTCACCCCCGGGACCCCGGACTCGCATCCCCAGGTCACCCCGGGACCCGGAGCAGCATGTCTTCGGCCAGCGGTGTGAACATCCGCTATTGCTGCGTCTCCCCTTCCCCACTGATCTTCAGGACCTCTCTGGACCACAGTCCTTTGCCGGACCCTTCGACCCTTCCAGACCCTTCCAGACCCAGCCGCAATTGTCTCCGGCCACATCCTGCTCCTGTTCTCCCAGGTGACGCCAGCGGCTATGGGCATGGCGGCAGAGCGTTCCTGAGAAGTGGCTTGGGTGGCATCTGAAGGAGGGCACTGAGGATGGGGGCCTTTTCCTGTGCCCCTGCCCTTCCTCCAGATCCATTTGCCTGCGGCCCTGTCCCTGGGGGGAGTGATGGCAGGCAAGGCAGGGAGCTACGCTGCTGTCCACCTGCCCTTCTCACTGCGAGTCTCTGCTGCTACTTCCAACTTCGCTCTGTCTCTCGGAGCTCCCCTTCCTTTTGCCGCCTGTCCCATCCCACCGCCCAGCGTGGAGTGACGTTCTCGCGATATCGTCCTTTCCCTGCGCTCGTGTTTTGGAAGTCACCTCTCCCCCTCATCCACCTTCTCACTTTCTTTCCGCAGTGGCTGCAGCTCAGACACCCAGGTGAGAAATCACCCCCCCACCTTTACCCCGCTTAGTACCACTCTCCATTCCAGAGCTTGCCAGGCGGCGGCCACGCCTGTGATCCTAGCACTCTGGGAGGCGAGGCGGGAGGATCACTCAAGGTCGGAGTTCAAAACAGCCTGAGCAAGAGCGAGACCCGTCTCTACTATAACTAGAAGAAATTAATCTGCCAACTAAAGATATATAGTGAAAATTACCGGCATGGGGCGCACGCCTGTAGTCCAGCTACTTGGGAGGCTGAGCAGGAGGATCGCTGAGCCCAGAAGTTTGAGGTTGATGTGAGCTAGGTGTGAGCTAGGACGGCACTTTAGCCCGGGCAACAGAGTGAGACTCTGTCTGCAGTTCAAAAAAAAGCTTGGCCGAGGGTCAGAACATCCAGTGCACTCCAGGTCACCTAGTTCTCTCTCGCCCCCTCAAACCGGAGCCCTGAGGATCTGCAGCCTTCTCAGGGCCCATCTGGCCTTCTTCATCACCCAACCCGAAGCCCCAGGGAACCGGTGACCCCACCTCTCTTCGGAAGTACCCATGTGCCCAGCGCA